CAGCTGTGTAATGCAGCACAAACACAAAAGGATGTGTTTTGCCATATGTCCTTGTTTTGACAATGCTTGGCCCAAGAAAGAGGTCAGCTAAGGCTTTGCTGTCCTTTGCTCTGCCAGGCATCTCATTGTGGAGCTGTCCCTAAACCAACAGACTCTTGGACATTTGAGCCTTTCCAAAAGGATATGAAGTCCAGGTCAGATCACAGACCAAAACCTCTCATCCAGTCACAGCAACTCACACAGAACTCAAGATTTTGTTCTTATCCACACTGCTGCTCTTTTGTCATTAGGAAGGAGCATGTTGATTGTTTCTTGTTTGTCTTGCTCATAGTGACTGCCAGTGATTGTTTAGTTGGTTGCCACTGCAGACCTTGGTGATGTAGCTAGCAATGATGGTTTCCCTCTCAGTTGTCCTGTAGGATTGTGTTCTTTCCCCAGCCTGAAGAAAATGAAGTGTCTGGTCAAGCTCCTTCAGAGAGGAGCTCATAGCCCACCTGGCACCTTACTGCAGCAGCACTGTGCCATTCTGAAGAGATGGACATTGTGGCCTGTAGTGCTGCCATTGATCATTCACAGGCCGTGACAGCAATGTGCAGTGTCAGCAGAGTGGATTTCTCCAGTAAAGGCGTCTTCAGAAGGATCCAGTGACGGCCTTGGTCTGTAACACACACACTTACTCTCTCACGTGTCACTGTGTCTGTCACTCTACCTCCCACCACTCACTGGAAGGCTGCCCAGCATGCCAGCTGTCTTGGCACGTGATCCCAGGAAAAATAGCATTTTTCTTTTCCACAAAATAGAATAAACTAATCCCTTGGTTTGTTTCAACATTGACATCTTTTCATGAAGCCTTCCTCTCCTCTGAATAGTAGCCTACTGAGATTCTTAATAACACTCCTGGCATGTTTCCTATCTCCCCTGCAGGAAAAGACTGCTGCAGAAAAGAAGGAGAAATGTCACTGCACAAGGCTCCATGCCATCACGTCACTTTGCAGAAAAGAACTGGAGGTCCTGGTGCACGTCAAGTTCACCACAAGTCAGCAGTATGTCTTTGTGGCAAAGAAAGTTAACAGCATCTTGGGCTGCATGAGAAAAAGCATTGCCAGCAGGTAAAGGGAGATTATCCTTCCTCTCTGCTCAGCGCTGGTGGGACCACAGCTGAAGCGCTGTGTCCACCTCTGAGCTTTCTGGTACAAAAAAAAGATGTGGATATACTGGAATAGGACCAGAGAAAAGCCACAAAGATGATGAAGTGATTAAAGCATCTGTCATGAGAAGATAGGCTCAGAGAGATGGGACTTGTTACACTGGAGAGGAAAAAGTGAAGGGGAAATCTTATCCATGTGCATAACTTGCTTGATGAGAGTGAAAAGAAGATGGAGCCAGACTTCCTCCAGTGAGCAGGCAAGAGGGAAGGGACACAACAAGAAATAGCATAAATTCCATTTATATATAAGAAAATACATTTGTTTGTGGGTAGGAAGGTAAAGCCAGGTTGCCCAAAGAGGCTGTGGAGTCTCCCTCCATCCTTGGAAATATTCAAAACTCAGCAGGACATGGTCCCAAGCAACCTCCTGTAACTGACCCTGCTTGAAAGGAGGAACTTGGAATAGATAATCAGCAGAGGTCACTTCCAAGTTCAGCTATTCTGTGATTTTGTGTTATATGTAGAGGAAGATCTCAAGGGAGATGGAGACAGCAGGGCTGTTGCACTTTAATGTGTAAAGACAGTATTGTGGTGTAGATGAGGACACTTGGAACGGGAATGTATGGCAAGGCCCACAGAGGAGTACTGTTTCCATGTTGTACAGGGAGCACCACCACCCCATACTGGGAGGCCCTTGGTCCTCTCTTTGTGCTTTCTGGAGGTGTGTTAGTTGCACCAAGAGGTGCAGAAGGTTTCAGACCTTGCCTTGCCCCCCGTGTGTTATCTGCCAAGCCTCACACCAATTGCTGCGCAGCAGTCTGTCAGAGAAACAGGGTCTCAGTTCTTCAGAAAGCAAAAATGCCAGAAGCCTTTGGAAGGCTACAACAAAAATGCCAGTAGCAACAAGAAGGTTTTCAAGGTTTATTTATTTTTGCCTTTTTTTTTTTCAAATAAAAACTTTTGGGGTATTTTAACATTGTTAAAATTTTGGCTTTTTTTTTTAAAAAAAAAAAACGAAACAAATACACTCAGCTGCCTACTGGCATGAGAACCAGAGCTGTGCCTGGGAGATGAAACCTGCCAGGTGAAAGCAGAGAGGTGCTCAGGCAGAGCACAGAGTCCAGCTGTGCTCCTGGAGCACCTGCACCTTTCCACCGCATGCTTGCTCCGTGGGCGAGAGCACACGGAGGCTGAACCACAGGCACCATCTGTCTGGAGCACAGGAAGGGCTGCGTCTCCCAAATCTCCCCGGGGTTTTGGAGAGCCCAGAGGCTACAGCAGGCATTCATCATCCCACTGGCCAGGTCTGCCACCCCTTCACAGGGAATACTTTTCCACTGCCCTTTAACTATCATGCCTCCCGTCTGTGCTCACCAGGGCCAGGTCCTTATGGATATCCATCCAGCTGGTATAAATTTGTAATTATGTAATTAATGAAGGTTTAGGCCCTTCCTACAAAAGGTGGGCCATTTCCTCCTGGTTGTGGGAGATAGAACAACCTGCTTTGAAGCTGTAGTCTATGTTGGTAAGCAACAGATCCTAGCTGTTGGTACCTTGTTGCAGGTTTGGTCCAATATTGCTGAATTTGTACGTTTTGCTGCCTCCTGTTCTCCCTTCTGAGAAAGGAGTAGCTTTGTCCTTGCTTGTAAGCCTCATTGCTCCCTTGCTTTTTTCCCATTCCTTTGTTTTGACTTTTGTTGTTGTTTGGGAAACAATGTTTGTCACTGAGGCATATCTTTGTACTTGAAGTGCTTTCCAGTTTAATAATTATAGGAAGGCTGGTTTGCAAATGTAACCCTTTTCAAATCTTCTTATTGTTTAAGTGTACGGGTTTTTAAATTTAACAAACTGAATCAACCTCTTCTGGCTAAAAGAGATGCAAAAGGTGAATCAACTGCTTATGATAAACCTTGAGATGGTGAAATTTTGCATTTCTTGGAACTGTTTGTACCACTCTTTCATTTCTAAAGAACAAGAAGTAAAATAGCTGGGTTTATCACTGAAAAACAGCTGAGTCTGTATCACGAATATCATCATGATAGCCAAAGAACATGGATGTCAGACCTGTAGCACCATCTGCTTTCCTCTACAGATCTGCTTTTGTCATACCACACTACGTGCTTATGTGGAAACAGCTGATGCTAACGGCAGAGTTGCTCCTCTCAAGACTCTCAATAAGCAAATGCTTTGCCTAATAGTTGTTGATCTACTTATTCTTTCTTATGCCTTTTGAGTTATATGATTTTTCAGGTTATTTCTATTATCTAAACTGGCAGAGCTGCTGGGAGAGTTGTTTTTTGAAATATTTACCAGAATAATTGTCAGTGCATCTTTAATACTCATTGGAATTGTATTGAAAAATACATGAGAATAAATTAGTATATCATTGGGCTGTTTCTTGGTAATCTGTAATACAGAGGGGAATCAAACTCTAGATGTGTGCATTTATGGATTTCATAAATGCCTATGTGCTTTATTCATTCTAAAAGTAGGATTTTGTTCTAAATCCTATTTTACTCACAACAGTTACCAATGTAATCATATTTTTAAGGGTTTGTGGCCCAGAAAATTAATATAATTCTTATGACAAGCATTTTTGATTTTCTTTTATTATGTTAACAACAAAAATCTATTGTATGCATCAAAATCAGTAATGTGTGATTAGAATGAAAACAGAACATAGAATTGAGCCAATATATCCATATTTGCAGATGGCAATGGACACATAGGAAGAAAAATACAGAGAATATTAGGATTCTCATGTATTTCTTAAAAACAAGAGATGTAGCCTTCAACTGTCATAGGAACAAAGAAGCCCAGCTGCATTCATGGAAGAATAATGTACTCGAGTTTCAAACTTCACCTTTGCAGGGACTAATTGAAGTTTACTTGCTAAGCAAGGTCAACAGAGACAGACATTGTTTTGAAAGCTGTGTTTTTTCACAAAACTCCCATGGAGAAGTCAGATTCTTCAATACTGCTTGCAGGATTTTTCAGAAAAATCAAAATGTTCTAGAATTTGAAGTGTATTCCAACGTTTTAAACAAGAATTCAGGCAGCTCTTTTGCCTGGTGGTTCTCACTGAGTTCTGAAGCTTCTGAATCATCTGGATATCCATGTTTCAGGCTTTGAATCTACACTCTGTGAGAAGGCACAACTGCACCTACACAAAGTTAGATCTCTGCGCTCTCTGAAGTGGAAGGGAGACTCTCCATGACTTTGGAGAACCTCTGCAAGAAATTCAGAATTAGGTGAGGAACTCATGGTGAGAAGACAACTCTGGTGATAGTGGACATGTACACCATTTTCCAACAGTTTAGTAAAAAAAATTAAAATGTACATAGGCACCGGTCAATAACCTGCATAGCAGAATCTCATGCAGATTCTGGATAAGCATCTCCTCCAGACTGAAGATCTCAAAGCCCATGTTTCAGGAACAGCAACATTGGTTTGTCAGCAGGGTGCTAAAGGGGAACGGGATGAGCGCAGCCCATGGCTTTCTGTGTAATGGACTCCCAAAGGCTTGGAGTCGTGCCTGCAACCTGTTCCTTGAGTGAAAATCACTTGGCCCCTTCCTGGCTGGTGAGTTCCTCTATTCTGTGTTGGCTCAGTCTTTGCTCAGGTAAGAAATCCTGAAACCAATATGAGAAGGGAAAGGAGTAAACGTGCTTGGTGCTGTTTCAACATCTGCAGATACGTCTTTGCTATGGAAGCTTGCCAAATGGGCATTTCACAGATTAGGCTTTCCACTTGGAGAAAATATTGAAGACATGAGATCACACTACAATGTTACAGTAAAGGGGGGGTCTGTTCCAGAGGAGAAGGCAAGCATCATTTCCAGCTCTTATCCTCCTTAGGGGGAATAATATCTACCAAAGAAGAGGATGCTGTTGGTTGGGTTGTGTTTGATCAAGAAAAGAAAAGGGTGGTCAGCCCTAAATTCTTCGAATTCAGAAGAATGTTTAGTGTCTCCCATCATCCCTGCTAAGCCAGCCATCTCAGTGCCCTCTTCATTGACTTCCATGTACGCCTGATGGATGGCCGCAGACATCTTCAGGCTCTTTGCTGAAGAGATGCCAGAGAGATTGGCCGAAGGGCTGAACAGGTCGGTCATACCCAAGGCCACTAAGACAGATGTGAGGTTATATTTTTCCTCAATCTTCATGCGTGGGAGGTACACTTTCACTCTCTTCTTTTCCATCACATTGGGACTGGTCCACTCCGCAAGTTTTTCGAAGCTGATTTTGTTCTCAAGCTGCAAAGAGAGGCAGGGAATGAAATGCCTGGGGTGTGAATACAGCTTTTTCTTACCATTCATTTTAATCAAGACTGTCATAAAAAAACCAAACCAGAATGGATCCTGAAGTGCATCCTGTCAAAATCCTTCCTGTAGTTTATTATTTGCCTCACCAGTACCACCAGTGTCGCTGTCCTTTTATTCAGTTCCTTACCCACCTGACACATTCCCTTCTGTCCAGCTAATCTTGTGTCTCATGAGGCACAAACCAACATTTTCACAGCCTAGCAAATCAGTCAGCTTGTGAAAGAGCTTGCAAAAAAAAAAAATCACAAAAATTCACCTACAGTTGAAAGTACCTAACAAATGCAAACTTTTCTACATCTTAATAACTCTACTTTATAACATAATTCCAAAATAAGAATAATGGATTTTACAGTGCAGGTTGCACCACTTTTTCCCCTTACTTGAGTGCAGATAGGTAATTTGATATCACCTTGATAACTTTATTTTAAATGATGGCTATTTGAATTCTGATTTTTTTTGCCACTTCTTTCAGAAATCCTGCATGAAGTTAATCCAGTCCACCTGACTGAATCAAATTAAGGTTTTGAGTTTTGTTTCTCCCTTGCATGTGTCCACTTTCATTTCCTCTTTGCCAAGACGAAGACAAAAGTTTCATTGAATTTTGCACAGTTAGTAGATTATATTTGTATTCTTGCCTCACTGCATACTGGTCTCAGTTTTCTCTTTTTTTTTTCTTTAAAGGACAAAACCATTTTTTTTACTAGTTTATATTTTTCAATAATATAATTTTTCAATAATATAATTTTTCAATAATATAATTTTCAATTTCACAATCAGAGCAATTTTTGAAAGCAGCCCATTCATGATGTTTAGTGAGGATTTTGTTAAAAAAAAAAATCATTAATGATTCCTGCAAAGAATGCCTAATCTCATCAGTTTTAGCAAAATTTCCCCAATAGTTTATATGGGGATGTGGGTGAAATTACCTTTCAACAAAAAAAAAGTATCTGCCCATGTATACATCCTCTTCTGCAGAGCTATAGCAGCACTTTGCTCCTTTACCTTCTATTTTATTAGACTCAGTTCAGGGCGCTGCTATGAGGCCAGTCTCTGCCCGAGCACCTGGTAGCACGTGGGGGGCTTTTGTGCTCCCCTGCATGCCCAGCACAGCCGTGGTGTGGGCAGCTGGGATGTGTGTGGGCAGCTGTGATGTATGTGGACAGCAAAAGGTCAGCCAAGTCCCAGTGAAGTGACAACACTTCTGCTTCCCTGCCAGGGCCATACCTGCTCCAGGCCAGAGACATCATCAGGCAGCAGCACCAACATGCTCAGCTCCCCGCGCTCCAGGTTCTTCATTTCCTCTGCAGCCACCACTGCCACGCTGAAGGTGCTGTTCTGACACATCATTTGCACAGGTCTGCTTTCTCGCTGCAAAACACAAACGTGAGACAACGTGACCGGGGAGGAATTTTTTATTTTAAGCAGGCAAAAACGTACAAGCCCTTTGAAAGGGACAGGACTTGATCTTCGAGCACGTTGCCTTTG